TTTTTTTTTTTTGGTTAATGGAATGAAATCTATAATGTTTACTATTTCATTATTTTCATTTACTGTTCACTTTAAACCTAGTTAATGAAATAGATTATGCATTTGTAGGGGGTAGGAACACTTACAGCTTATAGTGACTAGCAGAAACTACTAAGTAATGGTTTGTTGGCTGCAGTTTTCTTTGTGTCAGGGTTATTTTATATATGTCTGCATTAATTATCTTCCACTCAAACACGATGACTGTACATGAGATACTTGAGCCTTTTTCGTAATGGAGGGTTGATTATACACATGGTTCTTTTTCTTTTGCAGTAAACTAGTAACTAGCTTGTGACTTGAGTTAAATAAGCTCCCAGAAAAAAGTGAGATGTCCAGTTACTAATCATTTTTCTACTAGAAAATTTTCATTTAGAGGATTTAAATTAATCCATTTGTGTTATTCAGCAGCTCACTTCTCCAAAATTGGATCTATATTGCAGTGCTTTATTTGATTTGGAGTTTAGCCTTTAATGGGGAAATTTGTAATGTTTTTAATGGAACTTCTATATATTTTCTTGGGTAAACTAATGCACTTAATGATAAACATCACTGTTGTGGTATTATATTACTTTAGGGACTATCAGAAGATGTGAAACTTTGAGCTGCCACTTGATTTTAAAAGGGGTTTAGAATTCAGGTACTCAATTCTGTCAAATTACAAGAAAATAACTGAAATTTACTTAGAAGGCAAATATAAATAAGTTAGACTTCTTATTTATAGTTTTATCAGTTGAAAATAGTTTGCTTTTTATATGAGCAAGTAGTAGGTATTAGCTGTTTTATGAAATTTTAATGAACCATTTTTAGCTTCTTCCAGCCGATAATTGCATTATGGATGAACACAAACGAGAAATTGCGGAAGCTAAGCAAATTGTTAGAAAACTTACGATGGTTGTGTTGTCTTCTGAAAAAATGGATGATCGAGAGAAAGAAAAGGAGAAAGAAGAGGAGAAAGTAGAGAAGGTATGTAATTCATTCTAGTAAAATTAACACTGTCTTGGATTTTGAATTATGAAATTTAACTTCTAAATAGTCAATTATGGAATAATTTCTTAGTTTTCATTTTGCTGAAACCTCATTTCTGAATCATTTGCTACAGTGATTTTATTTTTAATCTGAATGGCACCTTTTTAAGAGAAGCTGTCATATTTTTTTCTTGTATAAATTTCAAAATGTTTTCTAAGTAAAATCACAAGATGTATTGACTTTATCCTTTTTGTATTAGTGGCCCTCAGATCCTAAAGGGATTCTCAAAGATGATGAATTCTGGTTTCCTGTGGCATGCCATAACATTAAGTACAACTTAATTCCAAGTCTATAAACTGTAATGCCTGTGTCTGCTAACTGAAAAAGCAGATCCTGTTTTTTTTTCTTCTTTTTATTATTATTATTATTATTACTTTTGAGACAGGGTCTCACTTTGTAACTTGGGCTGGAGTGCAGTAGCGTAATTACATCTCATTGCAGCCTTCTACCTCCTGGGCTAAAGTGATTCTTCTGCCTTAGCCTCCTGAGTAGCTGGAACCACAGGCATGTGCCACTATGCCTGGCTGATTTTTGTATTTTTTGTAGAGATGGGGTTTTGCCGTGTTGCCCAGGCTTGTCTCAAACTTCCTAGTTCAAGTGATCTGCCCACCTCGGCCTCTCAAGTTGCTGAGACTATAGATGTGAGCCAATGCATCTGGCCCTGATGTTTTTTCAATAGCTAAAAATTTTCATTGTACTTTCAGAAAAATACTGTTCAATTTCCCGTGAATAGCAAATATTTTTTTGACATGTTGTGTTGCTTAGCTCAATTTTTTAAGTGAAAAAGTATTAAGATTTCTTAATGTCTGTATCCTGTGTATCTTAGTTTTGACTATTCATTTTCAGCCACCTGATAACCAAAAACTTGGCTTGTTGGAAGCCTTATTAAAGATCGGTGACTGGCAACATGCACAGAACATTATGGATCAGATGCCTCCATACTATGCAGCTTCACATAAGCTAATAGCACTTGCTATTTGCAAGCTCATTCACATAACTATTGAACCTCTCTACCGAAGGTATGTAACTGTATACTTTACTAATCATTGAGGTAGAAATAGTTTAGGACTACAACAGAATCTATATGTATATTGATCTTATCGCCTCAAACCAAGCCTGTATTTTAGTACCTTTTATCAAAAGATAAGAACTGTTCACAGAATGTATCAGTGTAATACATATAAATCAGTGACGTGTCTTCTAACGTCTAGACCAGGGGTTTTATAATTTGTGCTGCTGTGTAGTCTAAAAACTATAGGTTACACTTCTAGGTTGGGTTAGTTCCATTGAGAGTTGAAACTTCATTCTTCTGGTTTTGACTTTTCCTCCTCTCAGTGGGTGGGAGGGGCAAAGAATTCCTGAGGTTTTTTTCTTAGTATAATTTTTCTCTATCCTGGCTGAGTGGCTCTGAGGGAGGACATTGCTTCTCTGATTCTCTCATCTTTCCTGGCATATAGGCTATTGTTCCAGAAATTACTAGTGCAGCCTCTCTTACCATCCCCAGTTATTGTGTCGTCTAGTCCTTTAGCTTTCTGCCTACTTACAGGGTACTTAGGAGCAGTATTGACAGCAGCTCTGGCTACAGCCCCATAGATGAGAGCCTGCCTCAGAAGCCTCAGCCTTGTGACTTTTGTGTAGCCGCTGGTTGCTGCCTTCAGTGTCATCTCATGGGCTGTGGACCATGCAGGCTTCTTAGAGGGTGATCCCTGTGATTCCACAGTGGGACACCTGCTAAGCAGGTGAGAACTCTGGGTATGCTGTCCTAAAGTGATCCTCTTTTATTACACAGCTGACTTTCCCTACCACCCCTTTCCATACCACCTCTGCATACTCTAGTTTGTGGAATCCAGATTGAGAAATGTCAGTTGACTTGAATCAGTGTTGTTATATCCATATTTTTCTGTTTCATCTCCCGATGTATCTTAGGTCCATCCCTTGTTTCCCATTCCCATATCCAAGTTCCCAGTACTGGCCAAGTTTAAAAACAAGAGTCAGATGGTGTATGTTAAACGTTCCTTGAAATCTGCACTTCTCTGAATAAACAGTTAATTTGGAACATTCTCCTCTGAGCTCTGATTTTTTTTTTTCATTAGAGACTGTTGTTTTTATGTGTTTCTACCAGTTGAGAATTATCTGGTATAATAAAGTTAGGCACAATTGAAATGTAGAAAGCAAATATGAGCAAGAAAAATTTCACTGATTAAGATAACTGTGTTAAAATGGTAGGTATTTTAGTATGTGTGTGTATATACTTACATATATTTATTTTACTTTTTATAATAGAGTTGGTGTTCCTAAAGGTGCTAAGGGCTCACCTGTTAATGCTTTGCAAAACAAGAGGGCACCAAAACAAGCTGAGAGTTTTGAAGATTTGAGGAGAGACGTGTTCAATATGTTCTGTTACCTTGGTCCTCACCTTTCTCATGATCCCATTTTATTCGCAAAAGTGGTGCGCATAGGCAAGTCATTTATGAAGGAGGTAAGTAAGATTTTTCTTACAAACATATAAATTTTGATTTGAAAATGTTCTGAATATACTTGTGTTATGAGTATCTTTAGACATAAAAATGAACCCCATTTGTCAGTTGGGGGGAAATAGGGGAGGGACGGTGGGGGGTGGGGAGCTGGGGAGAGATAGCAAGGGGAGAGATGCCAGAGGTAGGTGATGGGGAGGAAGGCAGCAAATCACACTGCCACGTGTGTACCTATGCAACAATCTTGCATGTTCTTCACATGTACCCCCAAAACCTAAAATGCAATAAAATAAATAAATGGAAAAAAATGAACCCCATTTAATAAAGGGTTATGCTGAGTGAGGTTTGTGGAAAAGTCCAATGTGTCCTAACCATATACAGTCAAGTGTTGCTTAATGACAGGTGAGAAATGGCATCATTAGGTGATTTCATCATTGTGCAAACATCATAGAGTGTACTTAAACAAGCCTACATGATGTGACCTACTGCATACCTAGGCCATATGGTATGGCCTATTACTCCTAGGTTACAAACTTGTACAGAATATTATTGTATTGAATACTGTGAGCAGTTGTAATAGACTGTTAAGTATTTGTGTATCTGAACATATCTAAACACATAAAACCTTGCACTAAGTTGTTAGAACAGCCATGATATTACTAGGTAATAGGAATTTTTAAACTCTATTACAATGTTATATAACCCTGGTTGTATATGTGGTCCATCATCAGCCAAAACATTATTAAATGGTACATAACTGTATATATTAATATAACCCAAATCTAGCTAGATTATTAGTCAAGTCCCTCACACAGGAAAATATACTTCAGACAAGTGGCTACTTTTTGAATTCCCTTATAATTAGTGGTTACTTAGCATTCTTTTCCTTTGCTTACCTTCTAGTCATTTTCTTGGGTGTAGTTTTCAGTCATTGCTGCTATGTGTAAGAAGTCTTTTCAGCCTCAGACTGTTGAGGACCCATTCTTTTATTTTCATTTTTTAGTAAGCTTTTCATTGAAATAAAACATACATGTGGAAAAATACAGCTCAGTGACTTTCCCCAAACTAAGCACCCATGTGTCCACTACCCAAATCAAGAAATAGAATAGTACCAGCAACCTTGAGTCTTTCTTATACTCCATTCTAGTTACTATCCTAACCATAACCATTTACACTTTTTTTTTCAAAATCAACTTTGAGGTATAATTTAAATACAGTAAACTTCTACAATTTTAAGTGTACAATTTGATGAGTTTTGACAAATGCATACAGTTGTATGTTCACCACCACAATTAAGATATAGAAGTTCCCTCCTTCCACTGGTGTTCCTGGCAACCTCTGATAGGCTTTCCATCACTATAGTTTTGCTCTTTCTACAGCTTAATTAATGAATGGAATCATATGGTATATACTCTTTTCTGCCTAGTTTCTTCCACTTAGGCCTTTGAGATTTATCCAAGTTGTATGTGTCAGTAGTTCCTTTATTGCTGCATAATAATTTGTTATATAGATGTACCAGAGTTTATCTAGCCACCAGTTGATGGGCATTTGGGTTGTTTCTACTTGGAGGCTATTATAAAGCTGCTTTGAATATTCTTGCACAAGCCTTTTGGGAGGCATGTGTTTTTGTGTCCCCAGAAGTGGGATTGATGGGTCATATGAGTAACTATATGTTTAACTTCATAAGAAATTGCCAAACTGTTCCAAACTGCCTGTACCGTTTTGCAATTCCTAGTCTCAAAGTGAGACTTCTAATTGTTCCACATTACCACCAATACTTGGTGTTGCCACTCTTAAGTTTTTGTAGGTATGTAGTGGTATTTCATTGAGCTTTTAATTTTGTTATGGTGACTAGGGAAGTTGATCATCTTTTTATGTGCTTATTTGCCATTTTTAGTTATCTTTAGTTAAATGTCTGTTTATGTCTCTTGCCCATTTTTAAGTTGGGTTATTTGTCTTTTTATTGCTGAGTTCTAAGAGTTCTTTATATATTCTGGATGCAAAGCCTTATCCGATACATGATTTTTGGAAATTTTTTTCTTAGTCTGATTTGCCTTTTCATTTTGTTAACTATCTTTTGACAGCAAAAAATTTTAACATTTGATTAATTCCAATTTAGTAGTATTTTTCTTTTATAGTTTGCTTTTCATGTTATAAGAAATCTTTGCCCAGCTCAAAGTTTTAAAGCTGAAAAGAATTATACATAGTTTCTTTAAAATTGTAAAACATGACAACCAAAAAACATCTAGACCTTGTTATAAGCACAAATGCAGGGTGTCTTCAGTGTTCAGTGATTATATCTAATTTAATTTTAGACAATAGTAACTGTATAGAAATATTAACAGCTATTGTATATTAATTTATTGACATCTGAAATATTTGACTTGGCTTTTTATACTTAGCTGGTAGGTTTTTTTCTTTGTTTTTGAGGTAGGGTCGCACCCTCATGAAGGCCAGAGTGTAAGTGGCACCACCATGGCTCACTGCAGCCTTGATCTCTTAGGCTGAAGTGATCTTCCCACTTCAGCAGCCCAAGTAGCTGGGATCATAGGCATATGCTGCCCTGCCTGGCTAGTTTTTAAAATATTTATAGAGACAGAGTTTCCCTATGCTGCCTAGGTAGATTATTTTTAATGCTCACAAATTTACATTATGTAAAGGTACTCTAAAGAAATCTGTTAAGTAGTTACTTATTACTATATTGTTATTAAATAACATGTGAAATGGAAGTATATCATTTCTAAATGTTGGGAACATTCTAAGTCCTCTGTTCTAGCTATTTTGAAATATACCAATACATTGTTGTTAACCGTAGTTACCCTACTCTGCTATTGAACATTGGAATTCATACCTTCTATCTAACTGCGTATTTGTACCTGTTAACCAACCTCTGTTTATTCCCGCAACCCCCAGCTTCTGTTCCCCCAACCCCCAGCCTCCGTTATCTGTCATTCTGTCTTCTCCCTCCATGAGACCACTTTTTTTTTTGAGGCGGAGTTTCACTCTTGTTGCCCAGGCTGGAGTGCAACGGTGTGATCTCTGCCCGCTGCAATCTCTGCCTCCTGGGTTCAAGCAATTCTCCTGCCTCAGCCTCCCAAGTAGCTGGGATTACAGGTGCCTGCCACCACGCCCAGCTAATTTTTATATTTTTAGTGAAGACAGGGTTTCACCATGTTGGCCAGGCTGGTCTTGAACTCCTGGCTTCAGGTGATCTGCCTGTCTCGGCCTCCCAAAATGTTAGGATTACAGGCATGAGCCACCACCCCCAGCCATGAGACCACTTTTTTTTTTTTAGCTCTTGCACGAGTGAGAACATATGATATTTGTCTTTCTGTGCCTGGCTTGTTTCACTTAAAGACCTCCAGTTTCATCCACATTGCTACAAATGATATGATTTTATTCTTTTTTTTTTGTGACGGAATAGTATTCCATCATGTGTATATACACCACCTTTTCTTTATTCATTCATCCATTGATGGGTATTTAACAGATGATTCCATCATCTTTGCTATGGTGAGTAGTGTTGCAGTAAACATGAGAGTGCAGGTACTGTTTTGATTTACTGATTTCTTTTCCTTTGGTTAAATACCCAGAATGGGATTGCTTGTAACAAATTATCACATGCGTCCCATAAATATGTACAAATATTTGTACCAACAAAAAATTTAAAGAAATTTAGAAAGGAAGTATAATAATGTTTCACTCTTGATTTTTATTGTCTGAAAAGGATGATTTCATGTTAGCTAGTGCCTGCTCAAGAAACAAAAGGGCTGTATTTTTTCCAGTGCGTCATATCAGGTGCACACGAAGTCACTTTGTTCAATTGCTGGTGATGTTAACTTTATCATTTGGTTAAGATGATCTCTGCCAGGTTTTTCCACTATAGGGTTACTATTTTTTTCCTTTGTTATTAATATATGTCTTGTGGGAAGTTAGAATGCTTTGAGACTAAAAACAGGCTGTTTCTCCTCATATTTTCACCTACCGAATGCTGCTCTTTTTAGTTGAAAATCGTACATCTGTTGTTCTGAAATTCTTTGTTTGGTTACAAATACCAGACATGTGAGCAGGAGACCAAACCTCCAACTCATGGAAGTCCTGTACATAACCACGTACAACATTGTTACCAAGATACTCACTTGCTAGAGCTGTCACACTTGCCCTCTTGCCTTCTCCATTGCATTCATCCTGTATACCCATTCTTCCTCAGTTGTGCCAGCTTCCTGCATCAACTCCAGTCTATTCTTGCAGAGATGGAGGGCAGAAGGGAAGAGAAAAATGTTAATTTTGACCATAGAGGTCAATGTAAGAAGAAATTTGCTTTTTCCCATTACTAGGTTTGTGATGGAAAAGTGAACCTTTCCAGTTATCTGAGTTAGAATTTTGATCTGCTTTTACCCATAAAAGATTTTGCTGTGACAAATCATTTGTTCTGTGTTTAAAAGGCTTTTTTTTTTTTTTTTTTTTTTGGAATTCAAGCAATCCTACAAAGCAATCCATTTGTGAGATTGCTTCTAAAGGGTGAATATGACCTTAGTTCCAAATAATGTATTTACAATTATGCTTCTTTAACAAATCTCATTTATAAGCTTGGGGTTGCTTTTATATACAAATTATGCTTATTTTTAAAAAGAGGTTTGTATACTTATACCAGGTATCACTTAACAGAATAATCTTTCAGCCCTAAAGTTATTGGTAATTTATTTATCTGATTATATATATATATATATATATGTTTCTTAAATTTGAGGTATGTAGTGTAGGGCTAACACCTAGTACAGTGATTCGCAAACTTCAGCATGCATCGTAATCACCCAGAGGACTTGTTAAAATAGATTGGTTGGGCCCCATCCTTGGAGTTTCTGATTCAGTAGATCTTGAGATCGGACCTTAGAATTTGCATTTCTAACAAGTTCTTTAGTGATGTTGATGTTCCTGCCCAAAGACCAAACTTTGAGGATTCTTGTTCTAGGTTTAAGAGGTGGACGAGTATGGTGGCTCTAGA